ACATGATTGGCAGACCGGGCCATGTGCCTTTCTGGTGACTCAGCTGATGATGTCATTGCTGAAGTTGTTCAACACAGCCTCCTGTATAGAGCTGCGCAATCATTCAGCAAAGCGATAAAACTAGGGAGCAGTTGTGTAGAGGCGAATGTTTGGAGGGTAATTTGCATTTCAATGGTTTATAACGTGTGATTAAACATTAAACTATGGAATGGACCAGTTGTATGAAACAAAGAAGGCTGGGGGCGCTAAGGACGTCTTAGAAGACTTAATGACTTCACTGTTTGGAATTGTCATTGACTATTACTGTTGATAACATTAATCGTAACTACAAACAAGATCAAGATGCCGTGGATAAACCATCCCCAAGGCCTCACTAGGTTTGACAGAAAAGTATTTTCTAAGAGGCAATGGTAAGTTGGTGGCGTATTAAAAGTTCTGATTTATGTACAAACTTACAAAGCACGTAGTTGTAGTTCACCTCCCCTTTCCCACAAGGGTTTCTCATGTGTGCTGTTTATAAAAAACGATGTTGTTCTTGGTCTAACTGCTTAAACTGATATTTAGTTTCTTCCTAATTTATCAACCAAGCATCATCTTCACCTCTGCCAATACAGTACTACATGAGAGGGACATAGTAACAAGCGTTGCGTTGGCAACAACAAATTTACGAAAAGCTCTGAAAACGGAGAAATTATTAGTTACACCATCTAATTCGTTTCTGTAAATGAAAATGCCCACCGATGTCAATATGAATATCATTCAGTTTTTAAGGTAGACCATTTGCCAAACAACCAAAGTTTTGAACATTTTAAAGCACTGGCCGTATTCACTGTATCGTAGTCTATAGTCGTCATCCAGCTAAACCATGTAATGCGTCTGTAGACGAGACAGCTGGTCCAGGGCCGTTGTTGACGAGGTCAAGGTTTTCCACTGTATAAACTGGTCTTCTTCTCAAACCTCTGTCTCTATAAGGTACTCCGGCCCCCGCGACAGCAAACCTCAGATTTATTGTATGGTTTGTAATTAATGTTATTCATCACAATTAATTCCCCTTGCAAGCACAAGCCTGCTGTTGCTAACGACGTTTCGCATAGCAGTAGTGGATTTCACTGGTAATGAAATCTGGTAAGGAAAATGTAAGTTGATTCAGAAACTGTTCTAAACTATACACACATTTTTAAAATTTTAGATTAAATATTTTCATTTGTAGACATGTTTCAAACCCATTCACATTGAATATTAGTATATTCGTATATTGCAGTGGATCGGTTCTGTTTACATCATTAATTAGACTTTCGACTTTATTTTTTACAAAAGCAAGTTGCTCACAGTGGTTTAGTTGAGGATAACAGAAACACAATTAATTCGTAGGGTTTGAGTCAAGCCAAGTTGACTGTTCAGAGGCATATAGGTACCTATAACGAAAGAGAAAGTTGTAGTGCTTGAGCCTAATATGGTCTGGAGTCCAGATGGTTAAGTTGTTTTCGTCCAAGTCGTCCAGTTGCTAAGGCCTCTGACTAGTCCATCGATAGACTAGCCAAATTATATTTTACGTCAACGCCAAAGACTCTCGTCATTTCTAGTATTGTGCCTTGACTGATGATGAGCCAAATGGAAACTAATTGTCATTTTACCATTTCACTTGTAATGCCTTATATATGAGTATACCCTACAAGTGTAAATGTATTGTTTTAAGAATTATCAGGCATCGGTCCTATATGAGTTAATTGTGACATTAACAATCCATAGTTAAAAACACGTGTACACCGATGCCAAAAAACGATGTATATATTCATTGTTCTTGAATAGATTTTCTACATCATTTTCCTGATAATAGCGTTTATTTGAATGAGAAAGCAATAAGTTTGAAACGCATTCAAAATCAGCAAGTTTGAAAATCTTTTAACAAGGGTATAAAAATAGTAATACTGTAGTATCTATATTGTAGCTTCGCCTCGAGTCCAAATTCGCGAGTGTTTTACAGCTAAGCGGAAACGGAAGTTGATAGCGTGTTGTGACTTTTGATAAGTCACTACACACTAGGTCTGCCTTCAATGTAACACTGATACCATTGACTATCGGTTGACCTATAGATTTATTTGGCTCTGGTGATAAACAAATCAACTATAATAATTAACAAAGGTTAAACATTCTGTAAAAACAGGAAAAGACATAAATAAACACCTGATATGTATAGTTTCATGACGGGAAACTACCGAATTCCTTCATGAGTAGACGGTTATGATATCGTGGTTTTGATTTGTATCCCCCCCCCCCCCGGCATGTGAAAATAAAATTTAACATCCCCTTCCAAAGCTTTGGTTATAAAACTGCACACAAAAATATCACATAAATTATTGCATTGCGATAGTCCAAGCCGCATACTCCCATTCATAAGACACGTACCATGGGAAACTGTAACACCATCATAGATTAAACATGTAACCCGTCGCCCGATTAAAATACTTTTACTACAATTCGACCTTTTTCACTCTACACAGTAAGGTGTGTATTTTACTTTGATATTAAAGATTGTGATGAACACAAAATAAATTACTAAAAACAACAGGTAAGCCATAAAAGTGGGGTTTCTTAGCCGAATGTGGCTATGGTTTTCATTGACAACTCTTTACACTAGGGTCGGGTACAGTTTTCCTTAGCTACCGAAATCAGCAGAGGGTTTTTTGGTGGGAAAGTGCAATTACAGCCGTTAGGGTCTAAAGGTGTCTTTTCCTCTGGCACCTATCGGTCCAGGAAATTGAAGCCTCTTTGGAAAACGCTGTTCTCAATAACTCAAAAAGAGGGTTCATTCGTTCTTCAGAGATGGCATTCCAGCCACGATGTTTTTGCTGCACCAAAGCATCACAGCTATTCGTTTCTCTCCTCTTTCTGGTTCTTTTTCTTTCGGTTCTCTTGGAGAATGTAAAGAAACAGAGTTCCATGATTCCGGTCTGAGAAAATCAGTTAACGAGATCACCGTCCAACTTCCTCGTTCATATCCCCTATCAGTGGTGTCACCTACCCTCCACAGCGCGTTCTCGAGCTTCGGTACGACTTATCAAAGATATATTTCCGCTTGAAGAAAATCGATTGAAATCGCTCAGGCGAAAACCTTCCTTTTGTACGAAAACGGATGGCTCCAACATTTTGCGATGCTTTCCTGAATGGCAACAATCTTTCCTCTTAGTAGTTTCTTTCAGAGTGCCTCTGATGCTCATGTCTCACATCCAAAAAGAAGAACAGAAGTGGACACTGGACATCAGCCGCTGCCAAGACCTTCCAATACATCACGCACTTGCAGCGTATGCATAGCTCCTCGATTCTCGAAATCCCTCACGGTTATTTCTGTGATATCTTTCACATAACCTACGAGAAAATTAACCCGAAGCATTTCCATAGGGAGGATCGCATCTTATTTTTAAGTGATGTTCAAGAGATCATATCAAATGATTGAGCCCTCCCCTGAGCGGCTCCCGCTGTCATACCCAGTGACGTAGCCAGGATTTCAAAATAGGAGAGGGGGGGTCGACCGACCGAAGGGTCTGGGGGTATTCCATACTCTCCAGGTAAAAGGGGGTCCGGGAAAAATCTTTAAAATAGGCCCTAAAACTGTCATTTTTAGCTCTCCTGGCATTGAAAATAATCAACCCAAGGTCAATATACAGAATGATTATATAATTTTACATTTAATTTTACAACAAAATATTATATTTAAGACCGGAAGGGGGGTCCGGACCCCCAGGACCCCCCCTGGCTGCGTCACTGTACCCATCGAGATCCGTCCGGTGCGTGAAAAATCAACTTTGACCCCGTAAGTGTAGCTCTGCAATACCCTTATCAGGTACAATGGAAATTGCAAAATACGTCTTCAAAGCGGCCAGCAGGGGTTGTACTCTAAAAAACGCAGACACTAAAACGCTCACACGGGAATTTACAATTCACCAGCATTTTCGTTTTGGCAGCAATGAATCCTGCCTTTCTAAATTATTTTGTAATCGAGAAGACAAGGGAGCAGCTATTGTAAAACTATGTATACAGTTTGATACAGTACATTGGCCAATCATAGTCATAATAATTCTTTTACTGTCATAGATACAGTGGTACCTATTTTCGCCTAGTTCACAATCATATTTATTGTTGATTGAACCATGCTTCCACTGTTTCAGGATGTATTTTAGCATGTATGTGACTAATGAATTTTATTTATGTCTATAAATTAATAAAATAATATAACTTTCATCATTTCATTGCATTTCAAAATCGTACTTAAATCAGAGCTGAATTGGAAATTATTATTGTTAATTATATTGATTAGTCTGGTAGTATTTGCAGATGAAGTATGATGTTGGATTCTAAGTACTTATAGAAAAATCAACTTAGTATAACCATAGATAAAACATGAGGAGTATGTTTTATCATGGTATAACCAGAATTAAATCTTTTATGACCCAGGTATATATTTCTGTACTATAATCGTTGATACTGTATTACGTAGCACTACAGCTTCATGTAAGCTAAAAGTCTGTACCGCACCAACACTGACAGACGACAGACAGAGACAGCTTTGTTTTTGTGTTTTGCCCATTTTCATTTTGTCATTTTTTTTGTGGTTTTGTCCAGTGTTTCCATTCGCGGGATTATTATCCCGAAAACGGGATTTTTAGACCTTGAGCGGGATTAAAACCGGATGCGGGATAAAACGGGATTTTCGGCTGTGACGACTATTTTTATTTTTTTCTACTTAATTTTAGAGAAAAACTAACTCAAATTGATTAAATACTGTAGCAAAATATAATAGTGATGTTTAAACAACTTTTTAAACATGATACGTCAAGTATTAATACTAGGTATTGTACAAAAATATCATGCGGGATAAAACGGGATTTTTCCACAATTTAAAAGCGGGATAAAACGGGATTTCTCGACCCAGTAAGCGGGATTATTTTTTTGGTCGTGTGGAATGGAAACACTGGTTTTGTCCTAGGCCTATACATTACGTCACGTCGTCCATCGTCTCACGCAAGCTTGCAAGCTGCAGATAATACAACAAAAACATTCTTGATATCCTCTTGCCAGATATTAGTTTTCTGGATTATTGTGTTTTAATTTACCATAAATTAACCTTTATAAAATGCCGATCAGTGGCTATGATATCCATGATGATGGTCCTGGATTTGTGGGCATAAGGTTTTGTCAGGAATGGTAAGTTCTAGACTACACATTACAGTTCATCTACATTATTCATTTTTAACTTAGTTACTATGTATTTCAATATAGGCCAACGCCCATAAAAGGTCTTTATCTAAGTCATTCATAGGCATCTCGACATTGCAAGCCACATAGGCCTACATGAAGACAGCTTATGTGTGTATCGTCTTGACTAGCCTAGGCTAGGCTATAAGAAATCACTAGACTAGCCCCATGAGAAATTCTGAAATAGGGCCTACATAATGGTTAGTATATGACCTCCCTATTATAAGTTAGTCTTGACTTAGGCTACTGTGCTATTGCCGGCCGGTAAGTTAGTTGTAGAAATCACAGTAAGTAGGTATTTTTAGGCACAGACAACTTCATTTGGTCATTCTTCTGTAACTTGTACTACAATGGTTAAACATATTATTTGGATGTATTGTCTCAAAATCACTAAAAGTTAAGTTACTGGTACTTTCAGTCTTAAGTGTCGGCCTACCTTGATCACTGAGCCTGTGAAGTAAAAATCAAAACTCCTTGAACAATTGTGTATTAACAGTGTTCTCATCCATTCTAAGTTAAATCAGCCCCAACTTTTATAGAATTTTAAACTTTGGTTTGGAGTAAGGAGGTAACAGTCTAGTAGATATGTGTTACATTTACCTCTCGAAACAATTTTATTTTACACAGAAAGGTGACAACTTATTTCAGCGTTATTTTAAATGACACACTCTTTCTTATAAAGTTATAGCATTGACTATTTGATTGTTTTTGTTTCAGCAATAACATGTTGTACCCTAGAGAAGATAAAGAAAATAAAGTTCTTCATTACGCTGTAAGTATCAAAGCAGTAGCCTACCTAAGTATTCAAGGTAAATAAAAACTAGGGTTTCATAATGGCTCAAAACACTGCCATAACTCTCGTTTTGTCATCAATATAAGTAGCCTAGGTTGGTTCCGTACTAAGTACTTCTAGTGGGTGTTGGGGGCCAAATGTATCAGAACATTAGCAATGACTCCTGGGGGACAGGATCCAACGTTATAACTCAGTGAGTCCAGTTAAGGTGGGGATTCAATTATTCAGGCCATTTGTGAAAAGGATGACATGGCTGCGTTTTACGTTTTAATTTCTACTGATTTGAAGGACACTTTTTTTATAGTATAGAGCAGTATTTTGAATCCGCAGAACATATTTATCATAGATTTCCAATATTTATCCAACACATAAAATCCAATAAACAAATTATAAGGCATACGGAAATCTTTCAAAAAACCATAGAAAATTATTTTAGAAATTACAAATTGTATTAATATACTTATTACGAACAAGGAAAATTGAAATTTTCTTTACAACAATTTTAGTTGTCCACACTCAGCACGAGGAATGGATTTAACTCACATGCTTTTGGACTTTTAGTTAGTATAATAATTAGCCTTCTTGTCAGTCTCTTGAAGATAGGCCTAATAGGTCTGGAGAAGGCTCTTATTTCAAGGAGAGTGCAGTGGTGGCGATAGCGGGCCCGCGAGCCTTGACCAGGATTTTCGGTAAATTTTACCGGCACACGGTTACGTTTTTTATGATGAAAATTTGTTCAAACCTATAGTTCTAGTAGTTTACAACAGCTAAACTAACACTATTACTTGACAGATTGATATGCTATAAATTATCTAACAAACCTAAGTAAAAGAATTGTCATCAGTCATGCGGGTTGCATTAACAGTCCTCGTCGATTGTGTGAATGCGCAGTCAAAATTGGTTGCCTAATAATAGGGCCGTATTTATAACCAATTTTTTAAAATATATTTATAATATTTTTTAACCAATGTGGCCTCTTGCCTAGGAAGATAAAACATTAATGTTAATCCTCTTAGCCCCCAGCGGGTGACACCATAGAGGATCCTCTATGCTGATTCGACTAAATAAACTTGACAATTTTGCTACGGCCAAATTGGCAAATTAACCTAGGTGGCTAGGGCACTAGCTAATAAATAATTCCATTCTTTCATTGATGCTAAAAAAGGATTTTCATTTCATTGCATGTCTTACTTTTAGGAGGTTGCCCTTTAGATTTGTTTACTTCGCACTTTAGATGTGTTTACATCGGGTCAGGTAAAAAATGTTACTTACCTAAGGGCCTCAGGCCAAATCAGATCGGTTTAAAATCAGGTTGCTTTGGAAACGGTTGATTTTTATAATAGGCCTATAATGTCGATTTTCGAGCCGAGCAGAGCCTGGACTACAAGCTTGAGAGATCAAGCACAAAGTCAGAAAATCAAGCTCGAGCCGATTTTCTCAGTATTCAATACAATAATGCATAACTAAAAGTAAAAGCTTTTATATCCGTGAGGATCACGCTTATAAAATTGAAAGATTAGGCCTACGCTTTTGCCGCGATCGTGGATATCGAAGAGAACATTTCCCCGCGGATGACAATGACGATGTCTCCGCGGCCGCAGATGTTCAATATTTTGCCGCGATTGCGGAAGACGATAATGACGTTTCTTTTTTAGCGAGAGATATATCTAGGATTTAGCCGCGATTATGGAAAAATGATTTACCCGTCACCACCGACGGGTCGCGGGGAGATATTAGGTTATGATATTAGATTGGGCCGTGAACGCGGGAGACGATGCTGCTGCTATCTAATGATATCATAGGTTTGGTTGCATTTGCAATCACGGTAAACTATGATAATGTTTCTTCCATGACTTATGACTACGGGAAGTATTTACGATTTTGCCGCGATCATGGAAGACGATAATGACGCCTCGGGAGATGCCTTGTCAAGTTTATTGCGAAATTGCAAGTTTAGGCGGTAATACATGGGAAAATGTTTTTAAAGATCATTAGGAGTGGGGGGCCCGACGAACAAACTTGCGGGGTGGCCCGCGGTTTCTTATCGCCGCCACTGGGAGAGTGGGGTTTTTAGTTTGTTTCTATTAATCAGCGACACTACAGTAGACCTTAATCGACCTTGTATTAACCAATAATCGGATTATCCGCCTTCGACTAAGAAAAAGTTATTTTGTATTGATCACAAAAAATATAGCATATTGTCAGTTTGTTATCTTTGCAGAAAATTTATAACATCGTAAAGTGTGTTACGATTTTGAGAACTGATTATCTTATCTTAAACATCAGACTGTCTTGTAACAAAATGGTTGCTTGTATCTTGAATTTCGACAAAAGGTTCTGTACTATATTACGATGGATTTGGAAAGCATCAATTAATAAATTATAGTACTAAAGCTATTAAAATAGGAATTTTTATTGACTCTTGCCTAGTACTATTATATTTTCCACTGAAAGTAGGCCTATTTGGCTTAAGCGTGTTTTGTGTTTATTTTTGACTTTTCTATCTATACGAAAAAGGAGATAAGAGTAGTTTATTTTATAAATAATGCAAGTATAACTTCAAAAATAATAATTATGTAATTCCAAATGAATAGCACTTCATTATGTTATGATTTTAGCCATTGCCCGTTTTAACCGACCTATCCGACCTAGGTCCGGTCCCATTAGGGTCGGTTAAGAGGGGGTCCACTGTACAGAGTTCTCAATAATATTATTGTCAATATTATATACAGGGTGATCAACTCAAGGAGGCCACCATTGGGATATCGGAAACGGTAAGAATTAGAGAAAACTTTAAATGGGGGACATTCCTTTATTTTTTGTGGCAGTTAAAAATATGATTTTATTTTTTTGAAATTCAGCCACCATTTTCCAAAATGGCGGCCAACTTTGAAATTTCTTATGGAACACCCTATATTTTATCATGTTTTCGGATAGAACAGGCAATTTAAAAACTTTTTTATTCTTGACATTTTTTTGATAAACCCACTCGTTTAGGAGTTACAGCCTATGGAAAAATGACTTCCGGTGTACATTTTACATCATGTAGCTCCTAAACAAGTAGGTTTATAGCGAAAATTCGAAAAGTAAATAAGTCAAATAAGTCTTAAAATTGCATCCACATTCCAAAAAGACCATAAAATTCGTTAGAACTATTTTCTATTATTTTAAAAATGGCGGCCATTTTCCAAAATGGCGGCAAACTTGAAAAGTGGAAAACAGTGTATTTTATGGTCTTTATGGAATGTGGATGCAATTTTAAGACTTATTTGACTTATTTACTCATTGCATTTTCGCTATAGCATTTTTTACCATAGGCATTTTTTTCCATAGGCTGTAACTCCTAAACGAGTGGGTTTATCGAAAAAATGTCAAGAATAAAAAAGTTTTTAAATTGCCTGTTCTATCCGAAAACATGATAAAATATAGGGTGTTCCATAAGAAATTTCAAAGTTGGCCGCCATTTTAGAAAATGGCGGCTGAATTTCAAAAAAATAAAATCATATTTTTAACTGCCACAAAAAATAAAGGAATGTCCCCCATTTAAAGTTTTCTCTAATTCTTACCGTTTTCGATATCCCAATGGTGGCCTCCTTGAGTTGATCACCCTGTATAACAATACAATATTATCTAATATATAAAATTCTCGTGTCACAGTGTTTGTCTGCAAACTCCTACGGAACGACTTCACCGATTGTTATGAAATTTGGTGTGTAAATTCTGTAGGTATGCGAATCGGACGTAAACTATTTCCCGTTTCGAAATTCTTAAAAGGGCTCCGCCCCAGTGGCTCTGGAGTTTCCCATGTTAACCTTATGAGAAATGGAATTAAGAAATCTTAACAGCTGTTTCAATTAAACAAGTTGGTTCTGTTCTATGATGTTCAATAGCATTAAAGTTACAATGATTACCAACAGGGTGCAGCACTATTATTTCTTTTACATTTATGACAACAGCTAATTTGCAACCAAAAGGTGAGTGAGCGTAGCGAACGAACTTCAACCTTTAGGCGAGTGAGCGTAGCGAACGAGCTAACCTGAAGGCAAGTGAGCGCAGCGAACGAGCTCCAACCTAAAGGTGAGTGAGCGTAGCGAACGAGCTCCAACCCAAAGGTGAGTGAGCGTAGCGAACGAACTTCAACCAGGACGTGATTGAGTGATGCGAACGAGATCATCTTGAAAATTAAACGTAACGGTACTTTCTTTCCATCGGTCTGTCTTAGGGGAAACCTATAACTTAGGCGATACGAAGTTCGCCGGGTCAGCTAGTATATGTATAATATTGTCACGAACAAAGCAGCCATGGGAGTTGCTGCCCTCAGTTATGCTCAGTATTAGAAGCTCTAGTAGCCCAGTCAATAAAGGGATTGTGTCGGAAGTAATTAGTGAAAGGCTGATTTTTTGCCCATCGACTATTACCATTTAGAAAAGTGTTCAGCCAAAAGTCCCCGCCCCCGCCCCTCTTGCTTCCCCCCCTGTGCCCCCCTAAACATATAAAGTGTAAGGGTTTTGTAAATCACGTTTTTCTCGATTGTTAAACGACATATTGAATTGCAATTAGTTTTATTGTCTTTGTTATAAAATTTCCTACAATCGTGTTTAGTTGACTTTCGTCGTAACTGTTACCGCTTGTTAGTTATTTGTATAAAAATGTAAAGATTTATATTTTTTTGGACATATAATTTTATTTTTCTCGCCTTAACTTTTTTTGCTGACGTTTTATGAAAATATGTTTAAAGCAAAAGTTGTAGCTGCTTTCATTAGCTTTAAAATGATTTATAATAGTACTTACTTTAATAAAAACCCTGCGAGATTTAGACGATGTAATGCAGTATGCATACTCAATCAGTGAGCTAAGTGGGGCTGGCGTGGCGTTGCAATACTATCATTGTTGTAATATGGAGAGTGGGTTTTTTTACTTAAGGTACACTATTGCATTATCTCCATATCCCACCGCAGCAAACCTGCGACTACGCAAATTTTCGTTCATTTACCTGGCTCAATATTTACTAAAACCTTCCCTTAAAATCGTCAGAATTATTTCTTGATCAGATTATTTTAATGAACACTTAGGTTTGCTGCTAAAGCTAAGGTATTGAAGAGTGTTCTTTTATTGAAATGTTAATAGCTTTTTATGAAATAAATAAATTTCATTAAAATATATCTATGAACAAGCAAACTACAACAGTTTTTTAAAGTATAAAATAGGAATTTTAAATTTTAATTTTTATGAATTATCTCCATAACCGTTAAGCGTACAACGTTGCTCCAATATACAAAATTATTTATTTTTTTTAGCTCTACAAAATGGTTTGGAAAGAATTTGTAATATTTTGGGGTTTTAGGGGGGAAATGGGAATAACCTACTTTTACCCCATAAAAACTTCCATAAACCCCTATTCCCATAGTCCGATCATGCTGGTTCGCAAACTCGTTCGAATAAACGTAAATTGATACGTTTGTACCCAATTTCATCAAAATTGGATCAATTTTGCTTGAGTTATCACGCTAACAGACTCATATATATATATGATTTTAAATTTACTTTTTATTTATGGATTCGAACGGCGGAGGGTGTTTTCGGCCTCTGAGGGCCTCAAAACGAAAAAGTAAATCGGGCCCGGGTCTAGGTCTTACCATGAGACCTACAATAATAGATTATTCCCTATATGAGGGATATGCTAAAAATACAACCGAAACAAAACCCATGTACGGTTAATAAAATTTATTTCTATCCTTTGTATTTAAAAAGCATGAAATAAATGTTATATGTTCATAATAATTGTATTGGATGTTATTTTTGAACAAATAATTGCATTATCATGATTTGAAGTTAAGAATTACTCATACATCGAATTGCAATTTTTCCCTTACAACTTCTTTCCCCCCTGATCTTATATTTTCAACACTGGGGTAAGACGAGTCATCATACACTCGGTTTTTAATTTATTGTCTTATCAAAGCCGCAGCTGTAGAAACGATTCTCTTAATCTTATCACCGTTACGCCTTTTATTTTAAGAGTACCAAGTTTCAGAGAAAATCTTGCCCACCCTATCTCTTAAATGAACTATGGAGGATTTATTTTTATGTTCGTAGTCTAATAAGAAGTCTTTCACTAAGTGATTAAAAAATAATGTTTTGAAGTACTTCGTTTCATAAACCTGGTACATATACATTTCATCTGGCCTGATATATTTTTCATCAATTGCAAAAGGTTAGGAATACTATGCTGGCAATCATCATTTTCCTCAATGAAATTGCAAACTTTTATGAATGATTCTTTTAATAAATCGTTAACTGGTCTACCACGACCTGCACACGTATTGGGTGATTGAATGGGCTGTTTCAAAAACCTAGTATAACCATAGATAAAACATACTCCCTTAGTAGATTTCTCATCCTTATGGAACAGCTGAAGACAATTGTATTGTTAGTTCATGTACGGTTTATGTAGAGGTCGTGTTTTGTTTACAATTTGTTTCCCGTTATTACAGCCATTTAAAACCTCGTTTAACGAAATAATACGATCTAATCATAAACAATAACTTGTCACCTAGTTATATAACCAAACAGTAAAGCACAAATCAAGAAATTAACCCTAAAATAATGGAAACAAAGTTTCATCGACACTAGCGCCTTTGTGTCACGTACATGAACTAGACACGAAAAACGTGCTTCAAAATTTACAATGGGATGAGAAGTCTACTTGTGTTGGTTAGTCTATGGTATAACAAGGTAAACAAATCCTTCTTTCCTGGACCTAACCTAATCACCCCAATCAGTTTTCCTAATTTCAATACATTAACTTATAGTTTGTCTGGTAGTTGAATTACAGTATGAAGTAAATCGACTGCTTTCCTATTGTTTATTCGTGTCTTAAAATTACAAAAATCTAGAAAAATACAATAATGGGTAGAAACATCGTGCTCAAGTGCGACAACGGATCAGCTAAGGAGCGCCACATTAAAATAGTGCACAACATGCATCCACAGTTGATATATGGCGTTACATAACCATAAGGTACACGTTTCAATACATCATTTTAAAGCTGATAGCAGCTACAATTTTGTTTGAAAATACTTTCATAAAATAACGGCGTTAAAAGTTTTGCGAAAAAATGACAAGTACAAAAAAATTACCTTTACATTATTCTACGGATAACAAACAAACGGTAACAGTTACGACGAGATTTAACTGGACATGATTGCAGGAAATGTTATTACAAAGGAAATAAAACAATTGCAATTCGATGTGTGTTACATTTTTAACTTCCAGATCTTTGTTCAAAGATAACATCCTTTAAAAATACTACATACCTAAAAAAAATAACTACATGCTTTTTAAATAATAAACTAAATATTTTTTTTATTTAAAAATATGAACATAAAATGTTATTAACTTTACATGGATGTTAAGATTTTTTTTTTTTTGATAATACTATAGTGTATCTTAAGTAATAAAAAAAAAACAATTCTCCACATTACAACAATGATTGTATTTCGCGCTAGCCCCACCTGGACCAAACCCGCTGATTACACGCACACACATACTGCACTACACCGGCTGAATCTCGCAGGATTTACATTAAAGTACTATTATACATAATTTCAAAGCTAATGAAAGCAGCTACAACTTTTGTTCTAAACGTATTTTCATAAAAAGTCAGCGAAAAAATTTAAGGCGACAAACATAAAATTATATGTTCAAAAATATATAAATCTTTACATTTTTATACAAATAACAAACAAACGGTGACAGCTACGACGAAAGTTAACTGAGCAGGATTGTAGGAAATTTTATACCAAAGACAATAAAACTAATTACAATTCAATATGTCGTTTAACAATATAAAAACGTGATTTACGAAACTCTTACACTTTATATGTTTAGGGGGGCACAGGGGGGGGGAAGCAAGGGGGGTAGGGGTGGATACTTTTGGCTAAACTCTTGTCTAAATGGTAGTAGTCGATGGGCAAAAAATCAGCTTTCTACTAATTCCCCCCCCCCCTTAAAAACACAGGTTGACCGGACTAACTATACTCGCGGATCCGCGCCGCGAGCGCCCTTGCGCCCGACGCCTCCTCCCGTTTTCGGACTGATTCTGTCAACTGACTGCAGCTAAAATACGTAAAACCAATATCATTTTGAAGATTAAGAAATACGCCAATTTTTTATGTAAAAAATGTTTCTCTATCTCGTCTCATTTCGATACAAATCAACTTAACACACAAAGGTTGAAATTTAAAAGTGAAAAAATTTACATTCAAACTTAAATTGCAAGAAAACTACTGAACATATCGATTACACTCTTATTACGTTTTTTGTAGAGAATATATTAAGGATTGAAATGGTAAAACAAAATTTATTCTATTGCTGTTAGTTTCTGAGATATTGATAAAATAATAAAAGCTTACACAAATACACTTTAAAGGGTGTAGGGGGGAAGCAAGAGGGGGAGGGGCGGGGACTTTTTAGAAAATGTTCCTTATATGATGTACTAACACCCATGAAAAAATCAGCCTTTCACTAATTACTTCCGACAAAGCACTATTTTTTCCCTTTATTGACTGGGCTATAGGTACAAAGCTGAATGTTGGGACACCCTCTGCATAAGCCTTTTTATTGAATTTGGCTTTTGTTAGTTAAGCATCTAGATGCCTTGCGTATTACATTTGTCTGCTGGGGTGTTCCCGAGCCAGCAGTTTTGGCTTTGATGATTATCCTGGTTTTTGGCTCTATTATTTCTTAGAATTGAGCGATATACCTATTGCAACACTACTATCAAAGTCTGCAACCACATTCTCAACAGATGGGATCTCAAATCAAGTTTTGAGTGGGTACCTATTGCATCTTTAATCATTTTGCAAGCACTATAGGTAGAATGCCTTTGCTGTTTATGTAATATTTCACAAGGTTGATGAGTTTTTGACCCACTTTCTTTTAGAAAAAAGGTACTACTCTCATAGGACAATGAGTTTCTTGGTGTGTGTAAATGCATTCCCACCCCCTATTAAAGAGACTAAAAAATGATTGAGGACAATTTACAGTTAGATTAAAATAACATGTTTACGATGTTATCGGTTTTTACCAAGATAGGTCTCAGAAAGCAGAACTTTTAGCGTTTTTCATGGTAATTCATAATAGCCTACAATAATTATTTGAAAATAAAAAATTACCTAATACAATCGTAACTCATTGTTTCAGTGCCGGAACTGTGACTACAAGATGTTAGCGGACAGCAACTGCATTTATGTTAACAAAATCATGCACGAAATTGAGTAAGTAATATTTTTCCTAAAAAATACTTTACGTACCTAACACTTGTACCATCAGTTACGTTCGTATCCCCTGTCGCGAAGTTGTGTTTATTTGGTCCATTTCCATTTAACGAAAGACTGTGGAATAGTTTATCTTGAGTTGTTAATAACCTATTCTTTTAAAGATATATTTTTATAAAATTTACATTTTCACACTATGCTGAAAACCTTAAGAAATAGCTTTAAACAAAATTAAGAAGTAGGAATGAATAGTCACCATTCTCAACTTAGTTAATGTTTCTTCGTTATGTTTTAGAACCTTATGCCCCTAATATATGCTATATGTATATTATTAAAGTCAGTTTGATGGGTACACTGGTAGCTGGGTGGATATAATTCATGCTTGGTAATCAGTAGGTCTCCACTCTCCAGTTCAATTCTGAGTAATCAGAAGCTTGCTAATGGTTTGAAACTAGACCCAGGCGTTATTGATCATTGGACTCTAAGGAGCATAATCCTAAATATAATTTTGTATAATTCAATAGTTAATCTTTGTAAAGCTGAAAAAAGAGTTTTAAATGTGCTTTAATAGACCTACTACATAAAAATGTAATTTTTTAATATCCCCTTTGAATTGTTGACTGCACTGTTAATCCTCAGCCTGTGATTGTTGGTGTTTTGTTCAGTGAGCTGACCCACATTGTATCCGACGTCATCTCAGACCCGACACTGCCCAAGACGGAGGATCATCCGTGTCCCAAGTGTGGTCATCGTGAAACTGTCTTCTTTCAGGCACAGACCCGGCGAGCTGAGGTAAGTTCTTTGTTATGACAAGTAAAATGTTAAGCCATTTCTAACTGTTATACCTGAGATTGTAAATAATATTGTAAATCAGTGCCTATATACATTTTTTTTTTATATAAAATGTAAAGCTAGTGGCGACAGCAAAGATAAGATAGTGCAGACTGGTTTGGCCCATCTCCAACCAATGACTGGCGTGGCAGCTTAAGAATCTACTGATGAATGAATTAATGAATTCATGGAGAATCCATGTGAATGAAGTGAATAAATTCATGAGCTACTCAAAGTCTCTTGCTAAAAATTACACAGATTTTGGTAAATAAAACAGAACTTGTTCTGTATCTTCATAATAATCTACTTGAATTTGTTATTTAAAAAAGGAAATGCAGAAAATAACTATGAAACAGAAATGCCTGACTGTTCCCTTAATTTAATTACGCTTATTTCACTGCGGATAAAGTAACAGAAGGAAATTCCTGTGTAACAACCATTGCACAAAAGTGCTTTTTCCAAACAAATTATATTAATGAATGTTTGTTTTCCATACAGGAAGAGATGAGGCTCTACTACGTCTGCACAAACCAGCACTGCACTCACCGATTTACTGAATAGATCAAGTTAAGCCTCCAATACTTTGTATGTTCATTTTATGTTATCTTATACTACGAATACATTTTTGTAAGTAAATAGTCTGAATAACAACACTTATTTTATTTCCCTTTTCTTTTCATGTAAAGTGTTAGTATTAGTTCAATTTTCAGATCTGAACACAAACTAGTTTTCAATGAATGTGTGGTTGATTGTTACTTGTAGGCATGGTACTAGTTGTGCCACTTAAGGGGAACTATGGTACACGAGTGAAAATTTAAAAACGTACGTTTTCATGTCCCTGGCATTTTACTTCATAGATACTGGATGTATAGTTTATTATTATGTGTTTTAATATTTTTTGGAACGGGGGCAACATGTTACACACATTTATTTGGTTTTAAATAGGTTCTAGGTATTTTTTTCGTATTTTTAAAGTCTCGAAATTCACGACCATGACGTGTCCCTAGGGTACATTTTCCAACTTTCACGCTGTTTTTAGACTAATTATTCATGCCGAAATATATAAAGCCATATTTTTATGTCATCAATGGTTATTAAACTTACAAAAAAGGAGCATATTATAATTTTATTGTCATTGCAGACTGACTACCATGACAAAATAAGTCTGTCCCTCAATTTGGCGTCACGACCATTTGGGAAAAATTTTCAACTTTGGAGCACGACAGTGGCAAGCCTGGCGTCGATGGAGTCAGTTGGTTTTAGAGACTAGTTCGGGGTGTACGTCGGGATTGTTGTGCCGGTCGTTTTGAGTTGAAAGGAGGAATTACAAGATTAATAAAGGAAAGATTGTGTTTTTTGTAATTTTGGTGTGTCCATGACCGTACGTAGTCATTCGATGAAGTAGACATGGTGTTAATTTTTGTTTATAAGACATTTCAATTGCTAGATTAACCTAGAAGTCCACTTTGTATCCTCGAACATGAGGTGCAGGGCTACCGCCAGAACAGAGCCAAATAACACGTAATTTCACGACCAAAGTTTCACGACCATCGCGGTTTTTTTCACGACCAATCCAGCCTTATGGATTATAGTGTGTTTGGTCGTGACAATAACTTTAATATAATTGTAAATTGAACAGTTTAGTTCAACTGAAACACATAGTTTTATTATAATTAACAATCTAATTGAAGGATTGTTTAGAAAGATTTTGATTATTCCAGAGAATTCACGACCGTACCGCTTGTCCCTGACCATCACGTTTATGATTTCTCTCATAAAAATTTCAAAAATTAAAATATCGTGATATTTCAATGTTTTATACACAAAAGAAGCACACCTCTATACAAACATAACGATTTTTCGGGTCTCAGGTAAGTTTTTTCGGAGTTATACAAACTTAAAAAGATTTTATTGTTTTTTTCTATTTTTTTGAGTTTTTTTATTTTTTTCTAGAAAGACCAAATATACCAAAAGCTCAGTGACCTTTTTATTGTATAATGGTCATAAAAGTAAATTAGTTTATAGCAAAACATAGTTATAAAAATAATATAACTATTTTTAATATTCATTTAAACGTCCGTTATGGTCGTGACAGGATTTTGTGTTTTTCTACGAAAGATGCTCTTTAAAAAGAAAACTACCAAAGATATTGCGTTACCATGGACATTTTATGAAACTTCAAATGTTAATAAAATAAAAAAAATAATAAAAGTTTTGAAAAAAGGGGAAAAAAATTTGCAAAGTGCTTTTCCTGAAAACGTACGTTTTTAAATTTTCACTCACACATGAGAGACTTGAGATACATGTTGGCAAATGCATTTGATCACATAGAAAGATTCTCAAAAAAAGACAATACATTTTCACAATTGAATCAAAATTTTATTGCTGAACAATCAACAGTTGACAATGAATTGTTGTATAAAAATAATATCAATATAATTATTCTAACAACCACCAAAAATACTATCTCGATATATTCTTGTTTACATTAAATCTAACATTTGAGGGTTTGCAACTGGGCCTGAGTTTTAATTGATCTTTTGATTTATATTGTTCTTATGCTTATGAATAAATTAATAATCATCCAAGCCAAAACTAATAGCAAAACGATTCACCTTAGAATAACACCTAGTTGTCACAGTATCTTGGTGGAATGGATGAAAATGTGGATTAATGTTTACCAGAGAACAGAAAGTAAATAAATGATTGAAATGATTGTGCTGTAAAACTAGCCTTCCACCATAAGGAACCAAGGTACCATCAATTTGTCAAGTGCTAATTTGTCAAGTGTGAAACAAATATTTGACCAAAAACAAGATTGTAAAATTTGAACAAGTAACACTAAACAGCAAGTAATAATGCCAAGCCTGTAGTATTGTTAGTTATACGTCACCATAAAAACAACAAAACGGACATTAAACATACTGGACATATCATAGTTTACATAAACATGTATTGGGTTAGGCCATTGTAATTTTACAAAAATATGTCTATTGAGAATGAAGTTGAATTTGTTTCTTGTGCCTTACCCCTTAAATATGTTCTACTCAACAATATATTTTTTGACTTGGCAAAAGTCTTCATCTTGACTCTTGAGGTTTACAGAATTGTTCTAAATCTACTATCCATTATTACAATATTATGCGTTATATTGGCAACATTTCACACTACACCTGTGCTGTGAGATTAACCTGTAGTTTGAATGTCTACAAGTATCAAGATTGAGAAAGTTCAATACTGTCAACGTTTTATTGTTTATGTTCACAGTAAAAATAGCAACAAAAAATAACAATTAGGCCTACTGGAAAAAACCACTGGTATTAAATTGCTGTTTACAATTAATTATGAAAGTCAGTCTTCAGATGGGTTTGGATTAATTAAAGAAAAATTACAACTAAAAACATTATTACATAAATCAAGCTTTCAATTAACTGATTATGGACGTAATAAAATTAAAGCACAACTATACTAACACTCTTGGGGGTTATGTACGTTTACACAAACTCGAATCTTACTAATATTATAAATCTGAAAGTTTGTGAGTTTGTGTGTGTGTGTGTTGCTCAATCACGCATAAACTACTGGACGGATTGGGCTGAAATTTGGCATGATGGTAGCTCACATTCCCGATTAACATTAAAGCATATTATTATCCCAAAAATCCTTTCGGGCTCCGCCCCAGTGGCTCTGTAGTTCCCCATGTTAACCTTATGGTTTTTCATATTTAAAAGGAATTAATGAATCTTAACAGCTGTTTCAATTAAACAAGTTGGTTCTGTTCTATGATGTTCAATAGCATAAAAGTTACAAGGATTACCAACAGGGTGCAGCACTATTATTTTTTTTTTTATTTATGACAACAGCTAATTTCCAACCAAAAGGTGAGTGAGCGTAGCGAACGAACTTCAACCTGGAGGTGAGTTAGCGTAGCGAACGAGCTAACCTGAAGGCAAGTGAGCGCAGCGAACGAGCTCCAACCTAAAGGTGAGTGAGCGTAGCGAACGAACTTCAACCAGGACGTGAATGAGCCATGCGAATACTTATGAAGTTAAACGGGGCAAAGCCCGCGGGTACAGCTAGTAGTAAATAAATGTACTCAATGCGTTTCATTGAATTGAAAAATAAATAGCAGTAATTAATTTATACAGCTGATCAAAATGTAAACAAATATGTTCTTCATAAGGATAACATGGGAACTTTAATAGCCACTGGGGAAGAGCCCAAGGGACTTTTTCAAAAATGTAAGGTCAGTTTGCAAATCTACGCGACACGCTCTTTGCAATGAGACGTCAATGGATAAAATCGGTTAAGAAAGGGCGGAGAAGTTCAACTGACAAAGTTTCATGTAGCGTATTAATTATATAGATTCTTGGTTTTTAACCAGGGTACAGCTACAGCATTTGTCATTCACAGTCTTCAGTAGTTATATTAAGTTCAGTTAGTGTATATAGCTGTCAGTTTTTTTAAATGCATAGATATTCATGACTTCAATAGATCTGATGTTGGTCCCTACAAGGCCTTATTTTAATCTAAAAGTCACAGTAAAAATATGAAGCATTAAAACATAATTCTACTAAATACAAATCTTAAGTGCAATCACCATTGAATGTTTTCACAATTTCTCACTTGAATGGTAATTATTTTAATGTAAACTTAATGTTTCATGTTCTGTTGTGTAAGCCGACCTAATAAACCAAAAGCTTGAATGTAGAATACTTTATGTTGACCCATATGCCTCACATAGCAAATTAACAGTCTGCCTGGAAACCCCACTCACATCATGTGTTGGTTTAGTTAATTAAAAATTATTATTATACTAGTGTGAGTATTTTGGAAATTGAACTCTTCAGGTCTAAATAGTTAAATGAAGACCTAAATAATTATGTACAACTCAATTGTACCAAATACCAACCATGCGCCACACTAGATAACAAAGGAAAGTTTTTGGTACAAGCTCACTGTGTTATCTAATGGAAGCTGCACAACAAAAATCCCAGAACCAGGTGAATCCTCAAAAGACCAATCAATTGAAATTTTTTTTGTGGCGTTACCTTTTGCGTGTCTTATCGTTTTCTGCCTACCTTTTGGTTGGAGGCGTTTGGGCTACACTAAGAAGGAAAGGAAAGAGCACAGACGGGAGGTCAGGTTTGTTCAGCTGATTGTCTGTGCATACTACAATAATTTCAATAAGAACCTGGCATGGCAGTTTCATTTTTTTGTCCTGTCCGTTTCCTTTCCTGTCCAGCATAGCAATGTGTGTCTACTAATATGGGCTAGAGTGGGGGGCTCGAGTTACACTTCCCCTATAAGACTCCACATTAACCATCTTTTTAGTTTGTAATTCATGCATACGACCGAGGAGTTTAAGTAAGAAATGTGTGAAATCGAATATTTTGAACCTATTTTCCATTATGAATTTTAACTATTTTCCAGGGGAGGCCCCTGGGACCCTCTCTTTACTGGGAGTTATTCTGTAACCCTCAGACCCCCCTTATGGGAAATTTAGAAGGACCCCCATGAGCGTAGCCAATGCTTTGACATAGAAATGTGTTTTTGTTTTTGGACTTGTGGCCTCTGAGTTACATAACATTCGGTCTACAAAACAGTTTCGTACCAATTGGCTACCAATCAGGCTCCTTTACTAATCATTCTAATAATAATGCCAGTGTACTGAACACACAAGCAGATTAATTTTAGGCATTTTACATGAGTAAATAAATAAACTGTAGGCGCCTTAAGTGATTTAAAAATGTTATTGCATTCACTTCTACACTGTACAGCCAATTAACTTTAACTACGTTGATGTCAGTATTTGGGTCATTTACATGCTACTTAATATAAATAACAAAAACAAGCTTATCATACTCAACAATATATTAAACATAAAAGGGTTCAACCATAAAATACTGATGGTAAGAAACATTTAAAAATATAGCTGGCCAAGATAAAACGTGTAAAACAAAACAATAAAACAAATATTTTCTAAAGACCTGATCCACCTTCAAGGTAAAACCAGATGTGTCCTAACTATATATAAAACTACCAACCAATTGTTATTATCAAAACAACCAACTTAACTTATAGATACAACTGACTGGACTAAACTTAAGGTACAATAGTACCTGTTGTAGGTTATGCGAAACAAGGAAAACACAAATCAGCAATAAACCAGCTGTTTTTGTAATTAAGTTTCTCTTTGTTACGCATTGACCTTTACTACGTATACAACCTCCCTATACATTCTATCAGTCTAGTGTTAAGAATAACTACTTTCTTGGTGAGCCAAGACGTCATCTGCTGATGATATACCTGGAAATAATTTTCTAAGTTAGTTTTTTGTGAAATTTTAAAATAAATAAGACAAAGAGTGTGTCAGTTAGACATTTTAGAATGAATAAAGATGCAACCTTTTTAAAACTCTGAAAGTAATGTAGTGTTCCAAATCAATGGTTTTGGATTAAAAACTACTGATCAATTATTGTTAAGAATTTTGAAGTATTCGTACAGAAAGCTAAAGCAACTTATGCATGCGACAAACTGAATTTAAAAAAATCAAAAATGGATTGAGAATTTTATTTTCTTAACCCTATTGCTAACCTTAAGTTAAAAAGAAATGTTTTGTCACCTCCCCACAGAGCTTCTGCAAATTCTCGAGAGGGAGACCAAGATAAAACAGAGGCCAAGAACAGCGAAGTAGCCAGCGTACACCACAAACTGTAAAATGAACAATGTAATTTGTCAGAACAATCAAACATAGTAAAACCACAAGCTTTAAATACAAAACTATTTGCTATTGGCAACATTTGAGCTTAGGCAGCCAACTGACAGATTTTAAGTTCCTTCACTCTCACTTTGTTAGACCAAAAAATGTAAAATTCAGTAAAACATCAATAGAAAATATTTCCAATAAAAGTGTTTAAAAACAAATCAATTATACAAAGTTACATCTTTTTCTTCTCTATGCCAAAATAAGACATTGTTAGCTGTCATATAACTGGTCCTAACAAAGTTTATACATTTATTTCAAACTTGAAAGCCTAAATTAGCAAACATTTTGGTACTTTGGTATTACACCGACCACACCTAATAACCTAACCTAAGGGTGGACTATGTTTTAGGCTAGGTTAGGAAGATGATGTTATTTAAACTAATTAAAATCTTATTTGGAAATCGATTTATTGGTGTGGTCAGTGTAATATCAGAGTACCAACATTTTGATAGCCTAAGTAATGTAGTAGGGCAGTCCTTTACAATGATTATATCACTGGAATTCTTTGTTTGTCCTGCTATTATCTTTTCCAATACCATTGTCTATGCTAATTACATTTAATGTTTACAACTGACGGTTCTGGGACATAAAATACTATAACAAACTAAAAATAGCAGGCTATATGTTGATGAATAATCAGCAAATGATCTGTTAAGTCCATAGAACGGTTTAACATTGTTGAGGACTTTACAAATAAATCCATGCTTCATACTAGAATAATAAGATTTACCTGCTGTCTGGGGGACAGTCTGAAGACTTTGTTGACGATGTAAGTGAGGCAAGTCTGTAGGAGTAGAGCAATGAACGTAGTGCTGCCGAATATCAGACCGTAACTGTCTCTGTTAATGTGCTTAGCAACCTCCGAACTGGAAATGAAAACCAATCAGAGAAACTCAACAGTAAATTGTACAGTTAAATCAATCATTATGATACTGAACTCGAGAAAGCACAACTATTAGAAGTACACAGTCCCTGGAGACTACCAAGACTTTTTAAGATTAAAACTATTTTATTATTTGGCTTTACAGAAGCTCAAACTATCTAGGGATCCAAAAGAACAGCAATTCTCTGGATTCAGACTTCATTAATACAGAATTCCCTTAATCAAGACAACCATTTGTCAGCAGTTTGCAACACAGCTAAGTAAGGAATGCGTCACTGTAAACTACGCAGATTTGTTGCACAGCACACTATAAAATAATTTAATTCCTCTGCAAAATAAAGCTGCAAATGACAAAAGTGAATATTTTCAGAAGACACTAAAACGTTCCCGCACATTCAACTGCTTTCAAGCAATCTCAACGTATGTATTTTTTATCAAAATATTCCATACTGAAGAGAATGTCATTTGCATCGTCCTTTAAAAACTCAATTAAACAAAATAAGTTGTTTGCAGCATTGTTCGGCGGAAATATTTAACTAATTGTTTCAGAGCATATGAGTAGAGCTATAGTTTCACCTTTGCAATACATTTTATGAAATATGTTGTACTGTAAATGCATTTTTAGTAAATAACTGCTTGTTTGTTTTTTAAATACCGAAGCAATATGCAAGCTTTTTCTGTAAAGGTGTTTGAATGAATGAATGAAATGTGTTTATTTCCACATAATATATACAGAAAACAAAAACATTTAAGTTTAATTTAATACTAGAGGTAGAATAGTGCTAATTATGTTTACTAACTGCATTTTATCTAGGGCTATTAATCCAGATGACCAGAATCTCAATCAATTGGTACGTATACTGGGGGTTCACTCAATCACAGAATCTAGAGAATTAATTCAAACATCACAGACTTGAAGAGTCAAAGAGACCACAGAAATGATCAAATACAAGTTGTGTCATCTCACTCCATTCTAAACCCACCTTGAATTCAGCTTTCAATACACATCCAAATGTGTGTAGGTGTCTCAAATAATTGATAGTTGATCTATTGTTATCTATTGTTACTCACTTGGCCACAGTAATCATTGTATGGTAGACAACAGTGAAGAATATGTAGGTAAGGTAAGCGAGCAGCATGGACCGTGTGCCGCTCATAATCCACAGCACGATCGCCACCAGAACAGCACAAACAGCCAATACTGGCTCTCCTAGTCTGGCCCAGTCCACCTTCACACGGCCGATAGTCAGGGAGGCCATGGCTCCTAGAAATTAAGTAACTATACACTTATTAATCATTCCGTGTTTGAAAACAACATCTAATCACAGTTTTAAATTTGATTTTGTTTAATGAAATGCTCAATTCCAGAATTATGATTTTTTGAATAAAGTTATAGCAGCTTGTTTACCTTAGAAAAAGTCCAGTTAGGCCATAGTATACACAGAGGACACACAATAATCCATCCTGTGAGAGACTTTTTCAAGTGTACAAAAAGAGAGTTGAACAAAGTGAGGGTTCGACAAATCAGCTTAAAATTAATTTTTAGTATCAATTATTAGTAAAACAAAAACCATCATATAATCAAAGAATTTTTAACTGGAGCATAATGGTAACCATAATGTTAACTAGGCAAAGACCAAAAGAGCTTTTTTTTAGCTTTTTTTAGCTTTTTTTTTATTAATTTGTAGCAGATTGAGTTTAAACTAGTACTTTATTGCTCTGTGTCAACATATTATGTAAAATATTTTCTGTCCCTTTTGGCTAATAAAGAGTTCTAAGTTATGAATTCCAGAACAATTTTGAACAGAGTTAAGCTGGTGATTTAATCACTAAGGTGTTGGTGGTTTATATAGTCAGGCGGGAATACTTGGCCTAGTACAGGCAAACACTTGTAAAATAAATAAAAATGTATTTTAGTTTTGTACAATTTGTATACATTCCTACTCTGAATAAACTCAAATAAGTATTTAGCAAGGGAAGAATGGTATGCCCCATACAAAATCACAGGGCACCGAATTCTGCAGAGCATAGGAAAGTTGTGCTACAGTAGCACTTTATATTATACAACAAATATCTGTCGTTCTAAAAAATTGGCAGACATATTATTTGCTCCCCATCAGCAACATCTAGAGACTCGGTTTAAGGTGGTTCAACGCGGGATAGAATCCTAGGTTGAACTGGATCTACATTTTTATGATAATGTTTAGACCAACAGTTTTGTTAGAAAAACACACAAGCTTGACTAATATATCAACATTGTTTTCATAAAGCTATAACAGTTCATACTTTTAGGTTATAACAAGAACTTAAGTTGTAACAAGAAACATTTGAACTAAAACCGGAAACAACATTGTACAAACCTATCAATGTATAAGCTGCCTCCACAATGCCGTAGTAGGGTGGCTCTTCATCTCCAATGTCCTTGCGAATCATCTGCCACAGCAGCTGGATGTAGTAAAGTACTTGCCAGTAGCAGCAGGTGCTGAGGGCCCACCACAGACCCCACTTGACTACATACACGGAGGTGAAGGCAGCCCTCATGTCTGACCACACGTGTCTAACCACGTCTTTACAGCAAGGATCCTGTCAGAGCATTGTAAAACATCAAGTAACAGCAAACAAATTGACAAAGATTTGTGAAATAGAAGTATATTTTACTGGAAATTAATGTGTTCACTACCATGTTGCATCGTCACTGATAGACTGGAGAATGTAAATTGGTCAGTAGCTCGGACCGGAAATAAAAACCTGTTATAATCAATTGATATACAATATTCTTGCTTCCAATATTGTTACTTATACTAAATTGCTTTTGTTTCCATAGTTTTGACGAGTCTAAAAACGGCGCATATGTGAGCCATCGGTCCATAGCATAAATGTATAACGCAATTTTACTATCCTGGACCGATTGTCCCATATTTGTGCCATCCCAACGCCATAGTTTTTGTGGCACCAACATGAACTTACGGTTGGACTGCCTGGAATGCTGTGTAGGTCTGCCTCACTCTGCATTGTGTCTCTGGTCTGGTGGAAGTACATGCTCTTGTCCACAGAAGGCAGCAGCACAGACCAAGCAGTTGCTGCTAGCAAACCTACAGAACACACGTGGAAGTAAGTACAATTCAGTGAGGAATATTTGATCTAGCACCTACTGATATCAAATATGCCACCTGCACCACAATTTAAATATGACTGTTCAATTAATTGTTTAAGAAACATTCCATATCTAGACTACAATTCCACAGTAGTGGTTTTTTAAGTGCCAGAAAAATCTTTTACGACTTTTCAAATAGGAAGAACTGTTGTTTAAAGATTGAATACCTACTTTTGTATGGTCACCATTTCAAAGTAAAGTATTTAAGTATTACTATAGCCACTGGTAATGACTGCAGTTAGCTCGGACATGGTGAATGGTTTCTTTATTAATGGCAGGGCCATTACCAGCTTAAAGACTAATAGAGCTCCAGGTATTGACGAGATCAGAGTCGAACAACTAAAGAACCTAGGTAAAAATGTCATGCAATGGTTGTTGAGCTTCATGAAAATGTGTGTAAGCCAAATGCATATACCAAAAGCATGGAGAAAAGCCTGTGTGGCTGCACTGCTCAAACCCTGGGAAGGATCCAAACGATCCTAAAATCTTTCAACCTGTTTCTCTCTTATGCCACGCATGTAAAATCGTTGTGGGACGTTGCGGGGAGGCCGTCTTGAGCATTGTCCTACACCCAAATATCATGGTGTCACACTGGACTTAACACTGACATTTAAAGTGCACTGTATTGCGACAAGGGGTAAAGTCTCAGTGAGGAATAATATCATCAGGAAGCTCACCACCAGATGCTGGGGTGCTAACCCTAATGTCCTATGAACCTCAGCTTTAGCGCTCAGTGTGTTGGCTGCGGAGTACGCTGCACCAGTAAGGAATGCATCGTCAAATGCAAAAAAGGTCGACATTGCAGTCAATGACATGGCTCGGATTGTAACTGGGTGTTTGAAACCAACCCCAGTACACAAACTCTATCCTATAATAGGGATCGCCCCTCCATCAATCCGACGTGATGTCGCTGCCGACGTAGAAAGGACTAAGCAAGAGACGGACCCTTTTCACCCATTTACACGGCCAACAACCTGTAGAGCGACGGCTTCGGTCCAGTAAGAGCTTCCTATCATGGACACATGTTCTGGATGGATCACTCTCAAGCAATTGGCTGGCAAGGTGGGAGGCCCCGTTGACTAACCCTCCCTTACCAGCCAGGGAGGAACTGGCTCCTGGTGCAGACCTAACATTACATGGTGTGGAAGACCCTAAATCAAATCAGAGTCGAGGTACCAAAATGCAAGACAAACATGCAGAAATGGGGTCTCTTACCAGACGAAGAAAACAACTTGTGTGCGTGTGGTGCTGTTTAGGATCCTGGCCATCTGCTGATCTGTCCACGCCTAGACCAGTCTTGCACATTAGATGATCTTTTACAAGCAAATGACAAAGCCATATCGGTAGCTAACTTTTGGAAAAGTGAAGTCTGATTTACGGACATGGAAAGTAAGTACTATAGCCATCAAGTTGGGATCCAAACATTGTCAACAAAACTGAGTAATTTAGAACTTTCAATTTTTTTAAGTGATTTCAAACGATAACTGAAACCGCCGAATAAAGCCAGAAAGAGGTGAAACACTATTGTATAATAACACTAAGTAACTAGGCCTACTGTTAATCAGCCGTGAGTTGAATGTGACGTTGTGGGGAGGCCGACTTGAGCATTGTCCTACACCCAAATATCATGGTGTCATACTGGACTGCACACTGAGTAATTTAGAACTTTCAATTTTTTAAAGTGATTTCAGACGATAAATGAAACAGCCTAATTAAGCCAGAAAGAGGTGAAACACTATTGTATAATAACACTAAGTAACTAGGCCTACTGTTAATCAGCCAATAAATACTGACCAGACAATGTGAGGAACTGCAGTTGATAGTAGGAGAACAGGTTGAAGTAGACAATGATCTGAGACACAATGCCAGAGAGAGCTCGGCCGGCCAGGTAGGCGCTGCGGGTGTGACTGGTCACCTCTTGGAAGTGTTCTGTGTCTACCTTGGCGTAGATGTACGTGTAGTAGGCCACCTCGCCTGCCATAAACAGTCCATACATCACCTCCACCACCTACCATTAAAAGACACAACATATTTACTTCCATCACAGTTGGTTCATGATAATTCAACACTTAGGGTAGAAACACACATACAGCAACTGGGAGCGGAGCGGAGCGGGGTGGAGCGGCGCGATTTAGAGCGACAAAATTAAACCTATACAATCAAGTAGTAACGTGCACACAAACCGCTGTTGCGAGCGTAGCGGTTAGCTTTGGAACAATCTCGTTTGTTTTTCTAGCGTTTGGGAGCGGAGCGGGCAACGATCTTGTGGACATTTTAGTTCCACTTTCGCCAGTAGGCCGCTCTGTACGCCCATTCTACCAGAAACGCAACTTACCCAGAGCGTTTTGGAACCTTCTCGAACCTTCTCTTTTTGGAAGAATGTATAAATGTTTTTTTGAAGGTCGAGGTAGATATATATTGCATGAATCGCAATTAATGCTTCTTAAAACTGGAAACAAATGGTGATATTCACCATGTAGGCTACCTACCTTTATCCATTCTCTTCATGCAACCACACCGATCTGTTTGAAGCACGCAAAACTAATGTTTTTACTCAAGTGTTTTTACTGTGCTGCAAATTGCGTGCGAACTTACAATGTGAAATCTTGGAAATGATTGAGCTCCCGTTTGTGTTGCTCTCGATAGTCGCTGCATGTGTGCGACGTCAGTCGCTCACAGTCGCGCCGCTACAGCTCGCTCTGGATCGCCCCGCCCGCTCCGCTCTGAATCGCTGTATGTGTGTTTCTACCCTTAACTTAAGAGTTCGGGAGACTGTTTACCAAAAATGATACTCAATAGCTTAAAAGCTAAGGAATGTTTACTAATGTTGCCTTATTGTGTTCTCTTGATTTTAGTTTACAAGAAGCACTAACAATTATGTTTACTTCAGAGTAAAGGTGTACAAGACTGAGTTGTTAGATATAGCTTTTAAAAAAAATCCCATGTGCCAGCATTTCTCTAACCGAGCTTTTGTAAATAATTGAAGTGTCTTAACGTCTGATGAATTACTTTCTCACAATTCTCTTCTATTATATCATAAAGTAGAGTTAAATATTTTTTTTTTATTTAAAAGCATTATGAAACTAAATTAAATATAAGTGTCGTCTGAAGTTGTAATTCAGATATCTGACCAGCGTAGGTCTACAGTTTTTGTTCAATAATATTTAAGTTTAAAACAAAAATATAAATGCATATGTAAAAACACTTAAACTGATCAATCAGATGCATTATTTGAATTCATTTAGCTAAGTAATAATAAAAGTTTTGCCCCGTAGCAGCAAACCTAAGCACTCGTTAAAGAATGTTATTTAAATCGGGAATAAATATCTCAAGGCCAACAACACACGGGAAGACTGTTTTTCAACTGAAATTGGCAACTAGTTGGACAAACTAGTCGCCTGTGTCCCGACCAATGTACTTAGGTGGAACAGTGCACACGGTGCGACTACGATGTGACCAGATGAGGACCAGTCGGCGATCAGTCGTTAAGCAACCTGACCTGCCGATTGGAAGGTGATTTCAGTCGCCTGGTTTGAACAAATTTTCGCATATTTGTATTGCGCTTTTCAAGGATCAGGCATAGCAGCTGCGATAACTCTTCGTAAGTACTTATTGACATCCTGTACATAGAGCAAAATTTTGCGTCTATTTCTTGTAATGCAGCAGCAGCTACAAATAGCCTACATAGAACATTTGTTTTAACATATGGATGAACCCAATAATTTCTACGTCCTCTACGCTTTCTTGATAGTCTATGAAACACCAGGGCTTATCATCACTACTACTCATTTCAAACACCATACACAGTACACAGTATTGTTATAATAAAATTAGAACTCATTCACTGTCTCAACTCAACTTAAATTATTTCAGTCGCGCCTGTGTGCGGATCTAACCAATGTAACTGCAATCGTAATCGCGTCACAAAACAGTTGGTTCAACTTTAGTTGGGTTTCAGTCTTCCCGTGTGTCGACCGCCTTATTTATGGAAATATTTTAGTAAATATGTAATCAGACAAGTTAAAATTCGCTTAGTCTGCAGGTTTGCTGTGGCGGGGGTATTGATATTTTAGGCTATTAAATAATTAGGGGTTATAATTAGCCTTCAACCCAATCTCGGAATTTCAGGATTCGTCTCAGCTAATCCCGGAATCATCGTCCTAAAAATAAAGAGTAGGTATATATGTTTCAAGTGTTATTGGATATACTATTTTTATTTATTTTCTGTAAGTAAAAGTCCCCAAATTCACAAAAAATAAATATAAACATAGGTTTTGCAATCCCGTTAATCCCGGGATTAAAAGTCACCAATACATTCACCTTCTATACACAATAGTTCAGGTATCACGGATATAAATAACTCAATTTATTCTGTATCCTGGCAACAGAATCATTCCCTCTCCAAAACTTATAGTTCAAACATTGATTTTTTTTGTTTAATAATGTTGAAGAAATATCGTGTAGCTTGTAGTGTGACAGCAGCAGTGGCGGTTTGGTGGTATTATAGACGGGGGCCTCCCCCACCACCAAGCCCCGTCACGGAGAGGGAATTGAGAGCGTGGATCCCTATCTGGACTAGGTAAGTGAATGACCCAGACCAGATAGGTCAGGCCAGGATAAAGGACAAGGAAAATGCCCTGACAGAAGATGAGGTGGAGAAAGACACAATACCAGGACAAAGACGAAATACCCGGATTAAGACAATATACCCCGACAAAGACCAAATACCCCGACAAAGACCAAATACCCCGGCAAAGACCAAATACCCCGACAAAGACCAGATACCCCGACAAAGACTAAATACCCCGACAAAGAAGTAAGAAAAACTAACCAGCGATTAAAAGAACTTGGTGAAAAATACAGCAATGTCATCTTGGTGGAGGCGAGCAATGCTGGAAGACATTCACACACACGTCAGGGTCTTCACCTAAACCAGCAAGGGAAAAAGTGGCTCTCTGAAAGGATATCTGAGGCTGTGACAGCAAGGAAGACGGAAAATCATCCAGCAAGTCCAAATGAAGAACAACCTCTCCCACCTGGCACTGAGTCTTTGTTGGGAAATGACTCACCACCATCACTAGACCGTCAACCATTGAACTCTCACCAACAAACTCTAGTTTTATTACTGTAATGTCCGGTCAATGAGAAATAAGTTAAATTTAATAAATGTTTTATTAAGTAGTTTAAGGTGTGATATTTTAGTGATAAATGAGCACTGGTTGTTTGGAGAAGAATCGCGTTTGTATATGCCAGCTGGGTACACCTTGGGTAATATTTGTGCTAGGGATAACTCACTGAATAATCAAGTCAAGTCAAAATGATTTATTCCTTAAAATAAAAACAATACACAATACATTGTAAGTAAAAGGAATTATTCCCACGAATAGACTATTGATCCGTGATCGGGGGAAGAGTTAACAATATCATCAGTCTATGGGTATTGTATAATTGTTCTAATCACTGTACTTTTTTATTTTAAGCACATAAACTAAATAAACCTAAGCTCTAAACTAAATAACCGTATTTTAAATGCTAAAAAAATTTTAATTCTAAAATGAGGTGAATTACTTTTTAACATTAAACACAACGTCACACTACCCTGTACAAGACTCATCCCATTGTATTTATTCCAACACAATGGGCTGAATCCCATACAGAAACAATATGGATTACAATGTTTTACAAGTAAAATATATATATAAAAAAATGTGACCAATGACTGAATCATGACAATATCAGAAGTTTGGAATATAGACCAACTGGATCAAAGCCTCTACAGCAGCCCGCCCGATGTGCGCGAGCTGCTCGCCAATCATCCGTTTATAAACAGCAACACTGCAACTCTCAAGCCTCAATAATGTTTGTTGGAAGATTACGGTACAAGACGCGAGCAATATAAAATGAATTTTTGTTAGTGGTCGTATGAATAGATTTTGGGCAACTGAAGCCAAAGTTTAAACGATTTCTTGTAGGGTACCTATGGTGAATCTCAGAAAATATTTGTTCTTTATTGAAATTAATGAATAATAATAATGTTCTTATGAAAAGCTGTCTGACGTTTAGTACTGGAATATCAAGGAAAAGCTGGTCTGTTGAGTAACAGAAAGGTTTTTTAAGAATTTTTTTAATCAATTATTTTTGTGAAATGAATAAGGGCTCTAACACAGCTGACGAGACGCCAGCCCATGCCAGAACATCGTATTGTAACACCGACTGCACATTGGCGTAATACACCATCCTGCAGTGATCCACCGTCAGCACCTGGCCCAGCTGATCGAATGCATATACTAATTTTCTAAGCCTCTGCTTGACATACCACACGTGAGGAACCCAGCTTAGTTTATCGTCCATAATTATGCCCATGTACTTGTATTGTGACACACGTTCGATGACGTTACAATCACAGTCACGTGACGACGGATCACCACAGGAGTGCAAACGTAAATGACGTGGGCTCGGATCACTCTCCTTCTCAAAAAAAATTGGAAGACATATAGTTTTTGTTACGTTTAAAGTTAAAGAATTATGATCCAGCCAATTTTTCAACTTAAGTAAGTCGGACGATGCCCGCTTATACACCTCATCCCACGTGCAGCCTGTAGTCATCACTGCCGTATCATCTGCAAACAAGAATAATTTGCTTCTTGTTTATAGTTTTGAGTTTTGATATATTATTTATATAAACCAGGAAGAGCAAAGGCCCACGATTGCTTCCCTGGACCACACCGAATTCAATGTTTCTTTTATTACTTGTGACACCATCGATTGTAACAACTTGCACTCGGTCTTCTAAATAACTTCTAAACCAGTCAAGAGAGAGCTTGTCTAGTCCACAAAATTCAAATTTTTTGATACGTTTATGCAGGGCCGGCCCCAGGGGTGGACGGACCGGGCGGTCGCCCAGGGCGGCGGAGACGGGGTGGCCGCGGCGGAGCCGGGGTGGCCGCGGCAGAGCCGTCATATAATGGTGGAACTGGGGCGGCAGAGCCAGGGCAACAAACAAATTTT